AAGCAGCCGGAATGCTCTCTTGCTCTGTACAGCAGTTTCCTAAAACCTTCATACCCTAATCTCATGTAGAGCATTTCCCCTACATCAGGCAGGAAGACAAAACAGGCACACTCCAAGGGCTCCCTCTGCCCAGCCTCCCTGCCGAGGTAGGACACACTCATGGTACTCTGGTTCACTCCCCAGAACCCAGGGCCCTCTGTGGGAATTTGATTCAGCTGGGTCTGGACTTGGCATTTTTAAAACAAATATCTCCAGGTGATTCTCATGTAACGAGAACATTTGGCCCCGGCTGCCAGAAAACAGAAACAAGGCCGGGCTGTATCTTTCAGACATTAAGACAGAGAAACGCCCTCCGAGGCCTGCTGACCCCAGTGGAGAGGGAGGGGACGCTGCTCACCCAACAGCTGTTTCCATGGTGTCCACCTTGACTAAAACGACAGGCCCCTCTGACCACATTAGTGTCCCCCCCCACATCACACGTGTTGGCTGTTTGCCTCCCCAGCACTGAGGCTTCCTTTCGCTGGGATCCTCTGAATTTATGTTCTCCAGGGCTTTGGGGGCTCAGTGGCTCTGTCCCCAGCTCCAGGGTGGGGCCTGAGGGCCTGGCCGATTCATTTCCTTGGCCAGCATTCGTTTGAAGTGAGCGCATGACTTAAAAGCAGTCCCATTAGAGGGATGCCTGGGGCGAGGATGGGCATTTCCAGAAAAGAGGCTTGTTCTTTCCTGTTGGGCTTGAACCAGAGACGACAAGAGGACCACTCTTCAGCGGCCAACCCGGACACCTCAATTATGATAACAGCCAGTGTTCACTGAGGGCCTGCCGAGCTCAGGCGCCGTGCTAAGCACTTGACATTGACGAGCTCATTTCACCCTTTACCACAAACCAGGCGGTAAGTGCTACGATCATCGTCATTTGCTGGATGACAACACCGTGGCTCAGAGAGGTTAGCTAATGCTCCCCAGATCACACAGCTGGGCAGACAGCCAGGCAGTCTGGGTCCCCTAACCACGGAGCCAGAGCCTGCCCACTCCCTGGAGCTGGAGGGAAACCAATGGAAGGAAGAACAGAGATGCAAGGGAACGGATACTCCTGACAGCATCGGAGTCCTGAGTGCAGCCGGGCCTGAAGCTAGAGTTACCTGAGCGTTTTTGGTTATAAAAGCCACCATATCCCTTCTTTTCTCCTTCTGCTGCTTTGAGATTTTTTCCCCTCTCTTTCTGTTGCTTCCAAGAGAAAGGATCCTGATTACTTTACAGTCCTTTTATGAAAATGCCCCTAACTGATACTCCATTTGTGACTTGCACACAGCAGCTGCTCAGTAAACACCACCAGATGTGAGCGGAGACTGCTCTTCTGCCCTCCCCCACCCCCCTTCACTGCTGGGTGTGTAACCCTAACACCCGACTGCGGCCAGTTGCCATTTCCCCTTTCAGCTCCAAGTGAGGCCTAGTTCCCTAGCAACCATCCCAATTAGGCAATCACACCATTTATCAGGACGCCAATTAATTATAATGATCCTAATGATCTTCCAACTAGGTAGCGCCTTGGATCTGATCAGGGGCATTGCAGACTCCCCAGACCCCAGTCATCACAAGGAAGCCTGAGGCGCCCCACCTTCCATGTCCCCCAGCCATGCAGGGCCCAAGCCTAATACAAAGCTGGGAACCTCAGGGCCGCCTCTCCAGGGAGAGGCCCATGTGACTCCATCACCAACCACAAGAGGGCCTCACCTGTAGGAGAACTTAAACCCTTCCACCCTTTGTGCTTTCCGTGGGCCTAGACCTTCACCTCTGATGTCATGCTTTTCTCTATCAGCCACATTTGATCTGTGCCTTTGCATTCTGAGTAGGGAAAGTGTGTGCATACTTGTGGAGGGTGGGGGGAGAGAGTAGGAAACGTGGCGAGGCAATTGCACATTTTCCTTAGGGCAACCCCCCTTCTGCAAACCAAAAACAAATCTGAGACTCCCCCCAATAGTGGAGATTTGGGGGATTACTGATGGGCTTCTGTCTTTCTAACCTTATTGTCTAATGTGTTTTCTTCCATTGAGCAAGTACTTCTTCTGTGCTTGGAAGAAAGACCAAGGTGATGGAGGGAGGAGAATGCAGTGGGTCAGAGTAGACCCTGGACCCTCATGGCCTCTCATATCCAGGCTCTACCAATGACCAATTTTCAGTAAGTCACGATCCTCTTTGCACCTCCACTTTCCTCTTCTTTAACATGATGAAAATCACAAGACCTATCTCACAGGGTTTTTGGGTGGATTAAACAAGTTAGTACGTACACGGGGTTAGATTAGTGTTTTGCTCATAAAACACCACCATCATAAGTCTAGATAAAGCTCTTTCCTCAAATGGCAAGCTGGTCAGGAATTCTGATATTCTTTTTTTTTTTTTTTTTTTTTTCTTCTGGGGGACTAAATCGAAGAACAGACTTGGCCGAGTTGGGTGATATTCCCAGTCTGGCTAACTTAGGAGACCAGAAGCTGTCCCCTTGAGGCATGTCCAAGCAGATTAATTAAACCTATCCAGGGAAAGGAAGAGGGAAATGTCATTCCTAAATCAACAGGCGCACGCGTCAGCGTATGCAATTATACTACAACTAGGTCTCCGGATGGCGACTGAACAGAGCTGTCAGGCAGGGGATGTGTGCTCATGAACACACGTGAGCTCAGGCGCGCGCGCGCGCACACACACACACACACTCACACACACTCACTCTCCCACACAGCCACACAGTCCTCCTCCAAGCCCAGGCTTTTTACAATTAACTCGTTATTCAACCCTTAAGTTTGAAAACTTAACATGTTATTAGGGTTTTAAAAAAGCCATAAATTCAAATAAAAAAAACCCCAGAACTGTACGCAAAGCCCAAACACCAAACCCACATTGACTCTCAGCCATGGCAGTTATGTCAACACTGGGCATTTATGTATATACACTTGGCCCGATGGAAACAGATCCTTCATGAGCAAAAGTCCAAGCAGCCACCAGCCAAGCCTGTGGCATTGCCCTTCGAGCTGCTTATTAGAGCACTAAATCACACCCCAGACCAACTGTTTTGATGTGTGCTCTCCTCTCCATGATGTAGGACAAGCAAAGCTGGGAGAACCTCTCTCACAGGGTGAGTGGTCTCCAGTCTGTCCCATGTATGAATGGCTTTAATTTAATTAAAACCCTCCAGTGGCTCTGTATTGGGTAGCGAAGAAAAGAAATCCCCTTCACTATTAACTACGAGATGAGAATGACTCTTACTGCTCTGGGGAGAGACACTGCTGTCCTCCAGGGAAAGCCCATCCTACCCTCTTCCCTGTCCCCAGAGAACGGGCTCAAGAGCAGCCTCCCCTTCTCTGCCCTGAAGGAAGGGAGGATGGCGCTGTGAGACAGAGGCAGGGGCAGGTGGAGAGGCCGGGGTAAGCATCCTGGCAGGCACAGATGTGCAAATACCCAGATTCAAAGGTAAGCTGAATGTAATTACTTGGTTAATTAAATATTGACTTTTAACTCAAAAAGTGATTAAAACAAGCTGCCGGAAAGAGAGGAGAGGGGGCAGGGAAGGAAGCTGCACTTTCAGGAAGGAGGAAGAGAAGAAGGATGAGGATTGACCTACTGTGTGCAAGGAATGTGGTCTTCAGTCTTAAGGCAGGTAGGAAACTACGCAAAACTAGGATTTACGGGTGTCTCTTTACACTTTCCGTATTCTAAGACCGTATCTCTTTATGAGGCTGCTCTGAAAGAGAACCGAGCGAGCCTCTGGCTCAGGAAGATACTGATCTTCGCCGTTCCCTGGAACTAATGCGGTACCGGGTAGGAGGACATGCTCCATAGATACTCGTAGAACGAATGAATGAACTACTATAAAGAATTAAATAAAAAAAAAACACACACACACATAAAAGAAAGAAAAGTGCACTCCTAGAAATCGCCTCACTGTCACACTTCTGAGCCCCTCGGGAGCTCGCGGAGGGGAGCATCTCCCCATAAGGCGATGAGAACCGGTTCTGACCTGGCCTGGAGGAAGTTTGTCTTTTCAATCCTATTTGCCCTTTCGGTATCTGCGAGTTCCCAGTCACCCTGAAGATCCGGTCCACCGCTTTCCCGTGTCCTGCCTGGACAAGCCCCACGTGGTCTGGCTTCTACCCGGTCCGCTGGGTCTAAACTCAAAGGGGTCAAGGAGGCCATCCCCCCGCGGCCGGCGGGCCCGGGCGCGCGTCCCCGGGGTTCTCTAGGGCTCCGCGTGGCTTCCGCGGGTCAGGGGCGCGATGGGAAGTCTTCCCCGGCTCGCCCGGCCTGCCGGCGGGGTCAAACGGGTCATCCCCCCGCGGCCCGCCGGCGCCGGAGCCTCCCTCCCTCCCGCCGGCCGGGTCCCACCTCCGCTCGCCGCGCTGGGGCCGGAGCGGGGCGGTCGGGACCGGCCCCCACTCACCTGGGCGGCGCTGCGGCCGCTGGGCGCCCCCGCCCCGCCCACCTGGGCCCCGCGCGCCCCCACTCACCCGCGCGCACGGCCCCGGCTGCCTCACCCCGCGCGGGGCGCAACCGCCTTTGCCGCAGCCCGGCCGGGCCGCGGGGCGCAGGGGACTCCGCGCCGCTGCTACCGCCGCCGCCGCCGCCGCCGCATCCCCGGCGAGTGCCGCCGCCGCTCCTCCTCCCCTCCCTCCGCCTCCTCCCACCTCTCCGCCCCCCGGCCCCGCCGCCGCCGCCGCCGCCCCCCAGCCCCCGCCCCGGCGCACCGCCCTCGCCAAAGTCCGGCTCCGCGCCCCGCCCGTGCGGTTCTTACATCGCCCCAGCCCGCCGGCCGCGCTGCCCGAGCCAGCCCCTTGGCACGGCGCGGCCCGGCTCTCCGCCCGCCAGCCCGCCCGCCCGCCGGCCTCCGCGCGCGGGGAAGGCGAGCGCGCGCCGGGGCGGGGGCGCCGGACCGGGAGACGCGGGCGGCCGGGGGCCCGGGGCCGGGGGACCCCACGCGGCGCCGTCCCCGCGCCCCCCGCGCGCCAGCGCTTTACCTCTGGCTCGATGGACGCGTGGCCCGGCCGGCCCGGTCCTGCTGACCCCCCGCGCACGGCCTTGGCTCCGAAGTGCGGCCCCGGACGGGGCAGCGGCGGAGAGCCGGGGTCCGGGCAGCTCTCGGCCTCCCGATGCCTCGGGACCCGGCTGGCCGCGCTCCCGGCGCCGAGCGCGCACCCTCGCCGGGACACAGACGCACACTCACCCGACACACACTCGCTCCCGCTCGCCCTCGGCGGAGAGTTGAAACAGCTGTGGGATTCGCCCAGGAGCTGGAAATGAGGGAGGGACGCGAGCCAGAGCCGTGTGTGTGTGTGTGTGTGTGTGTGTGTAACACACAAACGGGGGGGGGCATCGCTAATAAATCAAATACTGCAATAAAGTGAGGAGGACCATTGATCAGGTCCACTTGGCTGGAAACGAAGAGAATCCTTGCCTCTTTTCCGCTTTCTCTCCTTCCTCGGAGCTCGAAGGAGCCAGTGTTCCGCGGGGCGTGTGACAGCCGCGGCCGGGCGCTCCCCTCGTAATGACACGTTAATAAATGTTTTCTTTTATCTGCTTTCACATGGGCTCGCCCCGGTCTGCAAACACCCGACCGCCTTTGCTGAAAGCCCGGCGCTCGCCTCTAACGACGCACATCTGCCTTTGGAGCTGCCGGCAGGAGCGGGAGCCCCCAGCTAGATCGCGGGGTGGACTGCCCACGCGCCCGGGGAACCTTCCCGAGATACTAACTTGAACTTAAGTGAAAAGAGCTGCCGTTTCTTAGAAATGGTCTGGGAATAGGAAAGAAAGGAGAAGCCGGCTTCCTCCTCCGAAACGGGAGGAATTCGACTCAAGGTGGTGCTGTCCACCGCGGTTTCCACTGTCCCCAGTGCCACAGCAGAGGCCGGAGGGCGACGAGGCTGACAGGGGTGGGCAAAGAGCGGGCAGACAACCAACCAACCAGCAGCAGGAGAAACGGCGCTGGGTTGCTAAGGGCAGACAGACCGTGCTGTAGAAAAGTGCTCTTGTAGGCGACAGTGACTTAGTGTAAACCTAATGATCGCACAAGGAAAGTATTATTATGCCCGTAATACAGATAGGGAGACCCAAGTCACAGAGAGGTTAAGGAACTGGCCCGGACGTAGGTCAGACACTTGTTAAATGATGGACCCAGGATTTGAACCTGAGGAGTTTGGGTCCAGAGTTCTGCTAAGTCCCAGGCCATTTACTTTTTAGTCCATCATCTCCTTTCTCTGCTTCATGCCAGCTAGGGGTGTCGTATTTAGCAAATAAAAATACAGGGGGTCTGCGAGGTGTACTAAGACATTCTTTGTTTATTTGAAATTCAAATGGGATGTCCTAACCCAGTTGGAGGCGTTGGAGTCCCCCACTTTGTTCTCCGACCTTAGCCGGGCCAGATCAATCTGTAGTCTAAATGAATCGGGAAAACCTGGAACTTCTTTTCCTAAATCAAATTCTGGCCTCGATTTTGGCACCACCGAGGTTGCTGATCTCTGCCCTTCTTTTTCCTTAGAACAAAACGTCAGGCTTGCTTCTTTACCACCACGGACCAAAAAATAATGGAGACTCCCTTCTTTTCGGCTTCATCTCTGTGGGAGGAAGGACACATTGACTGCAAAGCTTCTAGGCCAGCGTTGTCCCTGTAGATTATCAAGCACGTCCCGGTTGTAATTTAAAATTTTCTAGTAGCTGCATGAAAAAGTCAAAACAAAATAAAACAAAAAAACCCCCACAAAAAAACACACAGGGGAAATTAATTTTAACAATATATTTAACCTAGTCTATTCAAAATATCACTCCAACACACAATCAATATAAACATTATTAATGAGATATTTTACATTCTTTTTTCTTAGGGAGTCTTTGGAATCTGATGTGTATTTTACACTTACAATGTCTAACAATTCGAACTGGCCACGTGGGGCTGGGATTCCCATAGAAGACAGAAAGTACATTTCTCGTAGGTTCTGTGGTCCAGGTTATTTTGTGTAATCTTTGTGACCATTTTTCAAGAAAACTTATGCTTACAAAGGGGTTGGCAATTGGGATTTTAACCCATTTGAGACTGTGCTTGTCTTTGGGACATCTATCCCCTGGGACAGTGTTTTTCTCCCTGGGTCCTCAGAGCCCCACAGGGTGACTCCCAGGCCTGGGGTGGAGAGGAAGGTGAGATCTGTCTTTTTATGTTGGAGAATATTTCAGAGCTGGGGAGAGGTCTACCACAGAAAAATTAAAAAAAATACACTGCCTTCCTTTAGGCCTCAAGTTCATGAACCTAGCTCTCCTTTTAAATGGGCTCTGCCCACAAATTTCTCTATCCTGCCTTCCTCATCAGGGACCCCCAGTAGTGGAAGTTCCCTACGTGGGGCTGTAGGCAGGGCTGAGGTGATGTCATCTGATTATCATTTTTAGATATTTATTTTTTCCATGGTTGTGGTTAGAAGACTGAACATCTGTGTTTTCCTTTTTATCCTTCCTTAGGAAGGAGACAGATCTTGTGTGTAAGTGCCTCTTTGTGTGTGTGCATCTGTGTGTATGGATGCATGCCTCTGTACACGTGTGTGCACAGGCACACGTGTGTGTGCTCACTGTGGGCAGGCGCTGTGGATCTGGTTTCAGGCAAGGACTTCACTCATCAGCTCAGAGGCTCAGGGAGTCAAAGGGGCAGCAAAGAGCCCTCTGGCCCGTCTCAGTCCCATAGTTCACAGCAGACTCCCTGGTCCTCTGGGTCTGAAGCCTCAGCCCGACTTTTCCAGCTTCCCTCCCGATGGAAGGGGACTCCTGGCCCCATCCAGGAGCTCAGGATCTGCCTGGGAGACTTGAAGGGACTCAGGGGCTCCGATGTCCCCTCAGTCTGGGGAATCGCTCAGCCATGGAGCCGGGGGCCTGTGTGGGACCCCAGTGTGATTCCTGGTGTCCCCTGGCCTCGATACTCCAGCCCCTGCCTGTCTCCAACCGCTCCCACCTGGGACAGCCTTTCTCCCCTCCTGTCCCTCATCACCCTGATGGCACCTCTGTCCCTGAGCATCCTGGCTGGATGATCGGGCTTTTCAGGTTCCTCATGCTGGTCCTGACTCCCCACCCCCTTGCTGGTTTAACCTCGAGGGGACCTTTCTGTTGACACCCCCACGCTTCATTTCATCCTTCTGTGAGTTCCTTGGTGGCCCTCTGTGCGAAGCGCCTGGCTCCTTCTACCCCCTTGCAAAGCCAGAATGCTGTTTTATTTCCAGAACTTCTATACAACAATTAAAAAAGAGAGAGAGAGCGAGAGCGAGAATCACTCCTGCTGTGTGTTTTCACAGTCAAGAGGCTGAAACTCAACCTGATTGTCCGAGCACTTCTGACTGTATTTGGGTTGGAGTAGATGGGATTTTATGAGGTTGTAAAAGTCAAGCTTTTAACATGTCTCAAACAAATTGGCGTGTGAAGGAGAAACGTTAAAAGTAGAAGCGTGGCAGCAGACGGGAGGCCTGGGAATGCGAGCACGTCACCGCACTGGGGCACAGGTGGCTTTAATAAGCCGCACCGGCTTGGCACAAAGCAGGAGAGGTTGCTGGGTCACCCCCAGGGGTTTGGGATCCAACTTCTCCGCTCCTGAGTGGGGAGAGTATTGCACAGGTTTTAAAATACAAACCCTAGTATCATCCATAATGTTACACATTTGTGGCTAATTCTGCTGAGTTTGCACTTAGACCCAAGCTGTCCCGTCAGTAGAAATGCAGTTGCGTTAGAGAGAAACTGTTTACATTTCTTGCGATATTGTGATAATGAAAAACAGCATCATAAACTTGCATTAAATCAGAAGAACATTAATTGTATTTCATGCTGCCTCCCTGGGCTGGCTCGCTGACACAGACGTACTTTACTTCAGCAAAACACGGCTAATCTTTTGCAGCACGGTACCCATTTCCCCCCTTAATTACACGTAATTGTATAGTCTAATTTATTCCAACGCCCGACGCCTAAAAGTGCACATTCATGAATCAAGGGTTAGATTGGGAGGTAGGAGAATTATAAATGGGCGTAATTGCAGTCTCCTGGGGGCTGCTTACCAGTGATCTCAAAGAGCCATGATGTTTATTCTGAATTCTTACCCATGAAAGACAGTTGCGCTGCCTCCAGTAAAGAGATAACAGTGACAATTTGTCTAGTCGCTTAACAATACACCACTCGTTCCTGTCGGGATAAGTAGGCAAAAAAAGATTGAATACGTGAATTTCGGTAATTTGTGGTGTGCTGAAACGGGGCACACAAGCATTAGTGCACAGGTAATTGAGTATTAAAATGAGTAACGTGGCCCCGGGCAGCACAGCTGCAAATCTGTGGACAAGGTAGAGCTCTGTCTTCTATTTTTACTCTAAAAATCTCAAACCAAGGAGTGGGAGGAATAGTACAGTGGGTAGGCTGTTCCTTCCACCTGGAATCAGCAGTTGTTAATATCTCGCCATGTGTGCCTTAGACGTGGCTGCGCTGTTTGAAAAAAAAGTCGTGGCCATAATGGCCCATCAGCCTTGCGACCTCAGTGTGCATCTCTTGAGGATAAGCTGGCCTCCTAGGTGACTGCCCCTTCATCATCACCCCTAAGGAAATGACCAGTGATTCCATAATCATTCCCCAGCTTGCTTACATTAACAGAATCACAAAGATGTCTTTCTCTTTATTCCTTAAGCTTTTTCCTGCCTCAGGGCCTTTGCTCTTGCTGTGCCCTCTCTCTGCGTTTGCTCCTTGTCATCATTCAGATCTCAGTTCAGATGTCACGTCCCTGAGAGTCCTCTCCTGTCTGTTTTACCTAAAGACGTTTCCTGGTCTCCTTCATGCTCTATCCTCCCTCCTTGTTTTATTGCCTTCCTGGAGTCTGCCACTGTAGAGACAATTCTGTTTTTGTTCTGGGTCTGTGACCACAGTCCATTTAACAGCTCACCGCACCGCCCCCCACTGCCGCCGCCCCACCTGCACCCCACACCAGCTGCAGGAGGCTGGGGCTACGTCTGGTTTGTTTGTTGTTGTAGGCCCCATGCCCATTACACTGTTTGGCACACAGTTGGGACTCCATAGGTATTTGGAGAGGGAGATGAACGAATGAACATACCTATGTGTGATGTTTTCAAACCGAAGTGGTAAAATGGA